AAGCACAGAAATTCTGTTCAACCACATATCTTCCAAGCCTTCCAACGCAGCTCCTATATTGACTTTTGTAACTTTGGTCTGCTTAAACATGATTCTAAAAGCTGACTTCCAGATACATAGGAGAGTTTGCAGAAATTTATTAATTTTTGTAGTCAAAAATTGACCTCGTTGTTCTTCCAGAAGTTTCTTACAACGGAGCTGGCGATAACAAGCAGTAGTGCGTAATCATGACCACCAGAATGAGCACGACTGAAGATCGAAAAAGAAATTTTATTGGCAGCATGACATCTGGAACATCATTATTATAAAATACGATTAGCCTCAAAAGTTTTAATAAGCCGTTATTGAAGCAAAAGAGGATTAATAAACAAAAGCTCTCTCAGATATTAATTTCCAAACTTAGTGAAAATATTTTTAGGGTATGTGTGTGGATGATGTGTTTTAGCTCAAAACCACACAATAGGCTATCTTAACACTGTCCACCAGGGATAATTGAACCCAGGATTTTAGCGTTGGAAGTATGTAAACTTACCGCTGACCCACCAGGGGACATATTTCTTAGTAAGAAATTAGACAGTACAAAAATAAAGAAAAATCATTTTTAATAATCATTAATGACGTGCGTTTAGTAGTTGGTATAAAATTTTCCGTAACTTATGATTTGCAAAACCTAATTAATTCTGGGATAGTTGTGATTTTTTGACAAATATATCTGCTATTCTAGATAGGAAATAAACCAGTTCCATAAACTGAGGTCGAAACACCCTATCAGATATGAAACAAGACACGAAACAAATGCAAATTTTGATAAAGATATTCATCCTTGTAATTATTTATAAAAAAAAGAAGATAAAGTAATGTGGAATAAGAAACTGACTCTAAACAAAAAATGAATTCAGTAATAAACTGGAAAATGAGCCAATTGTTATAATTCAGTAAAATGCATTTAGAGTGTATAATTACAAAACTCTAGACGATTTATATAATCTATAAAACAAAATTAGCATTTTGTTCACGGCTTTTAAAATCGGAAAATTGTAAAGATTTGAGTACAAGGTGATAGATTTACAAATCTATCTTAAATCGCATTGTTAAAAAACGTTAAAACTGTCTTGGAAATATCGAAAAATGAAAAATAAAACATTTACCTTAGATGGATTCAATGATCTATAAATGACGTGTTTATACTAAAATAGAAATCACAATTACAATATTCATAAACTATACGTACATTGTCTAGAAACAATTGATTCATATTGCTTGGCAGTTTCGCATTTACTTCTTCTTCAGTAACTAAAAGGAAGATATAATGTTCAATGTTTTTACCTCAGACATAAAGATAAATGAATAAATTAAATATTTCCTGGATGTTGAACTAGAGTATATAAGCACGCACAATTTATTCATGGTAAGCAAAACACTTAAATTTTAATGTTCAATCTTGCTCAGAACATTTGTTAATAAGGAAAGGGTGGTATGGGTATGTTTTAAATATTTATGACTTAAACAGCAAGCTAAATAACAACATATGTTGATGTGGTTTTAAATTGGTGTAACCAAATCAAGAAATGGGCATTTTATTTAGAGATGTGATTTATAAGTTACATATACAACGTCTTATAATAATTGTTTACGTAAATACTTAAACATATTTGTGCGTACGGTCAACAGTATTGACAACCATACATGCATTTTGAAACTATTGTTTATTTTTCTATGCGAGAAGACAGCTGCGAAGTTCAATAAATCTGTTTAATTAGCAAGTTGTATTTATCTCTTCGTAATAAATTTATTAAAATTAATCGAAAATAAAATTGTCAATCAAAGTTATATAGAAAAGCGGTCATTGAGATAAGTATTGAATTAATGATGAGGATGGTTTGTAATTAAGCACAAGGATACGCAATAGGATATCAGTGCTGTGCCCATCACTGGTATTGAAACTCGATTTTTTGGCGTTATAAGTCCGTAGACTTACCGCTGAGCCACTAGGGAGCTAACGATGAAGAAATATTATTATTATTATTATTAAAATTTAGTAACGTTTAAAATTTTCGGTAAAGTCTTTAAAATATGGGAATGATATATAGCAAGAAATCATTTTTATATCTCCTTAGAATTGTATGTGTTACTATAAAAAAGAGGGTAATCGACGAAACAGTTATGTAGAAATTACGAATACTATAACTTTGTAGTTTGACATTATAGTGTATATGGGTATATCATATCACTTTCTTTGTGAATATTTTTTCTGTACACTAATTATTATCTTCATTTTGAGAAGAAGAGCAGAATTTTATGTATTCCAAAATTTGTATTATACTAATTTAAGATTGTGAGCCACAATGTCTACTTTGACATTTCACGATTGGTGGTGTGGTAATCTTGATTAACATTTAGCAAAAGGGCAGTTAGAATCAGAATATAAGAAGATGGTCGTAGATTTAGTTGGTGTTAAATTGAAGTGACAAAACGAGATGCACAACAGAATGTTTTACATATTTATTTATTAAGTATACAAAATGTAGTTAAAGATCACATATTACAGTAAAACCGAAAAACTGAGTTGATAAAAATCAATGAGGATTATATTTAAACTAAGACAACACTGAACTTAAGACTAAACTTAAACTTGGAAACTCTCATATTGGCCAGATAGTATACAAACACACGAAATAGCTACATACCACGACTATGCTGATTGAAATTGATAACAAAGCTATTGAGAGTTAAGAGAAATATGTAAATAACCAGCAAATTTATTTCTGGACCAATCACTATCCTCCTTGTGTAAAAGACAATAAATCATCATTTAATGTATTTAATTCGCTTTGAAATTTACTAATGTTTTCCATTTGTACTACTTGCCACTGTTGTTGACTTTCCTGTAGTTGCTGCTGACTTCCCTGCAACTGTTGGAGACTTTCTTTCTGTTTCCTTTCTTGTTCCAGTTGTCACTGATGTAGTCTCTCTTCTTGTTTATTTTCGTTCTCTTCCAACCATTGCTGTAGTCTCTCTCTTATTTATTTTGCTGTTTGAGCTGCCGCTGTTGCAGGTTTTCTTGCCACTGCCGTTGTCTCTCTTATTGTTTCTTTTCTTTTTTCCTCCAACAACTACTGTAATCTCTCTTCTTGTTTCTTTTCTTTTCCTCCAACAACTGCTGTAATCTCTCTTCTTGTTTATTTTCTTTCTCCTCCAACCACTGCTGTAGTCTCTCTTGTTTACTTTGCTGTTCGAGCTGCCACTGTTGCAGGTTTTCT